AGATAGGACCGGCCCCCTCCTTGATGCTCTTCTGCATGGCCCTGAAGACATGGTTTTGCCAGCGGGCCTGGGGATCCCAGGTGGATATGGAGCCCATCAAGTGGTTTGAATGTGGTGTTGTTGCCAGGGGGGTGGGGGTATAGTGGGTTTGTATTTGGGGGTTTATTTTTGTAAGCCCGGAGTCACTGTGAGCAAATTGGGCAGCCATATAAATTGCTTAAATAAACAAACAAGAAGGGACAGCTGAAAACACTTCTTCCTGCCCCAAGCAGGAGGCCTCCAGTCCATTGCACTGCGATGACAGTGGAAGAAGCCTACGAATTAAACCTTGATGTTAGTATAAATAGGGCTTGCGTTTCATATTTAGCAGTCTTTGGAATTCTTTTTCAACAGGTTCCCTAGTTCTTGCAATGAACTTACATATCAGAGATCTGCATCTCGGGATCCCTGGACCCCAACTGGCCACGTTGCTAAGAATTTAAGAGGATGGAACTTCCGAAGGGCAAGCCGAGAACAAGCCAGGCTCATACCTGATCTCTGCGGATCCTTGTCCAAATTAAATCCTCCCAGCATCAGCATCTCTGCCTCTTTTGCAAGGAGGAGATAGCGAGGCTCATCCTGGGTGCCATCGTACTCGCCCCCTTCATCATAATCGGTCATGTTCAAAGCTTTGTCGTACCAATACAAGGCTTCTTTCCAATCCTGCTGTCTGCGGAATTAAAAGTAACAAAACCCAATATGAAAAACTCCAGGGGCATGACTGATGGATTGAATGTATTTTTACAGCACTAGCAAACTGCAGTGGACAGATGGAATGGCCTTGAGGGACAGGAGGAACAGCGGCTACCAAGACAACCGTCAGATAAAAGAGGATTGAGTCCAGGTGAGGATGTCTCAGATAAGACCTTCCCTAGTTCTCACTGAGGGAGGGAGGGGGAAACACATTCAGACTTGCAAGATTGCATCAGTCATCCCTTCAAGGCAGACCAGACTAGAAAACCAAAGTGATGCAGGCCAATATTACTTTTATTATAAAGATATAATAGAATCTTGCATTAATTAGAACTGATGACAAAACAGGCAGAACTACATAAAAGCCATGTAGAACACTGAAAACCAACCTATTAATCATAGATCAGTTAACCCTGGATAAGAATATTGCACAAACAGAGCTAGACAGAAAGAAACTACGGTGGTAGAAGGGGAGAACGTGGCATTTTTCATTCTGGTGCCCAGAGACTACTCCAGCAGAAACCAGATCCTCAACAGAGGGGGGAAAAAGCCCTCAACCCTCCAAAATGTCTTTTCAAAGACAACAAAATACTTAACCAGAATGATGTCTTTGTAGATTAGCTCTGATTAAAAAATAACTCAACATCTATAAGCAGCACCAGGAAAACATGGCCTGTTTAGAGTTCTGATGGCTACGCCATTCCAAAAATTCAAGAACTCCTCCGTGATCAGGAGTTCTGCTCTTGTCACGGGTCAAATGTCTTAGGTTACAAGCCAGGACACCTCCCCCATATATGGATGGTCCCCTTCTCTCTTTAACCACACAGGAGTACCTGTCTGGCGCCAGGTTCACACCGGTATCGTAAGCTCTCGCAACAAGAATCATGGAAGGCCGGTCTCCAGCTTCTGCTGCTTGGCACAAATATTCAAAGCCCTTGATTCTGTTTTGCTTTGTGTCCTACAATAGAAAAGAAACGGAAAGGAGTAGAAGAAACAAGAAGGAATAACACATCTGTACCTTTGCAACCCAACTCCTCTAAAAAAGCAGTAAGAAAATATGGCGTTTAGAGCTCTGAAGGGCATCCCATTCCATACAGTCAAGAGATCCTCAGTTATTCTGGGATTTGGCACCAATTTTGCACATCTTCACTTCTACCCACTATGTAGTCCAAACGTGAGTCTCCCATTCATGCTATCAATCTGGGGTTTCCTCGTCTGTTTAGACCAGTGTTTCTCAACCTCAGCAGCACTGACATGTTTGGACTTCAACTCCCAGAATTCTTCAACTGAAGTTTGGACATCAATTCTCACCATGCTGGCTGGGGAATTCTGGGAATTGAAGTCCATACATCTTAAAGTGGCTGAGGTTGAGAAGCAATGGTTTAGAGACATTTGCAAAATACACATTACTCTTATGCACTATCCACTTTTGCAGGCGTAGACAAAATATCTTCCAGTGTACGGCACTGAAAATGGATAAATTTTCTCCATTTCTTGGAAAACCACAAAGACATTCTCAGGTCCCAAGCTGTGCAGGGATATTACCTTGTTTACTTACCTGTAGCGTGACCTCTGAAAGTATGTGATGAGGTAGCTGAGAATGCATGAGGCCCAGCCCTACAATGGCTTCCAGCTCGCCACACTCAGCTGCATGCTCCAGGTGAAACAGCGCTGAATCTTCGTCCCACCCCTGGTCTTTTTCGCAAAATCGGCCAGCTTCATGATAACGAACCATGGCTAGATGAACCTATTGGGAGGGGAGAAAAAAGCTGTAATGGCATGTGGGAAAGACCTTGGGAGACTGGGCCAAGAGATGCTGCCAAGGGCATGGTCAGATAAGAGGGAGCTGAGCCCACAGATGGATAATGGACAGGGCAAGAGGCTCAGAAGGGACCTTCCCTAGTTTCTTGAGCTGTAAAGGAGATGGCGGGAGAATTGTACTTTCAGACTGTTACTGTAACCTTACAATAAAATAGAATTTGCTCATCTGGTCATGTTTCCCATCTGCTCTACCTGGTAAGGCTGACAAAAGCAGAGCAAAGAGGTGAGAGGGCAAAAAATCCAGTTGGTTTCAGTTCAATGATACCAACTTTTTTCATATTACAAAATAATTCCTTGCCCTTTGCAGCTTCCTATCAATGTCGTATTAAGCATCAACCGTACCATTTCAGTAACTCTAGACTATGTTCATACACATATTGTTTGGATGATGTCCGGGTGCTATGTGCTTTATTTTATTTTTTATATTGTGTATTTTATGTATTTGATTTATTTTATTGTAAGCCACCGAGAGTCCCTTAAAAGGGAGATAGGCGGCAACATAAACCAAATAAATAAATAAATAAAATATTAGGAATCACGTTTGACACTGATATAAACTGAAAGGCTGGATTCACTTTAATCATCACAGTATTCACAGCTTCCAGTTTCTATTCTATAGGCCCCACTGGACTTAGTTTTTATTTGTGTTCTACAGGGTATTATTTATATTCTAAAAGAAAACAATTAATTTGGGGGAAAAGAAAAAGAAAAAAAACATTAATTTGATGGCCAACTATGGTTTCAGTTTCACAAAACCATTTTTGAGGGTCTGAATCCCCTTCTAGCTGCCCCAATGCCAAACTGATCAATACTTTTCCTGAGATCTAAACTTTCCCTCCCTAAAATTAGCCATTAATTGAACCAAAGAGGGTCACCCCCAAAGTGGACAAGTTAATTCACGCAGTTCATTTTCTGTTTTGGTCCTAAACAAAGAATATCCCAGCAACCATAAATGCTAAGCAATAAATCAAATCAAATCTTCATTACGGTCATAGACCCGCATAATGCTAAGCAATAAATTCAGAGCAATCAATATGAAACTCTTATTCTTTCTGGCCAGGGAGTTAAACCGTCCGCTCAGAGAGAAAGAGAGAAAAGACTGCCGGGATAAAAGATTCCAATAAACTCACCTTCCCCAGGATGGATTTTCCAATCTTCTTTTCAAGTTCCAGGGCGTTGAGTCTCTGAACTTCCACCGCAACGCAGGAGGGTCTGTGAATGTGAACCCGAGCAGCGTTGTAGAGATTCCATTTTTCCACACTGACCTGGAAGAGGAAAAGTGCAGCAGAACTTGAGTCTGAAGTAGCACCTGGCTACGTGCCTGAGCCGGTCCCCAAAGTGTTAAGGGCCCCATTACCTGATTGCCCTGTTGACTTTTATGCAATTTTTATGATAATTGTAGGCCGCCTATATGTATAATTTATAATGGTTTTAATGACTGAAATTGTTCACCACCTAGAGTCACTTGGATGGAGACGGGCGGCTATAGAAATTGCATAAATAAATAAAATAATAAATAAATTAGAGAAAGGACCCAAGGGAGGGGCAAAAAGAGGGGTCCTACTTCACATCTTCACCATCTACATTCTTCTCGCTGAGCTTCTCCACAACCTACTGCTGAACTTCAGCAATGGAACACTTGTCTGGCCTGCAGACGGTTCCAAGGTTGAACCCTGATCCTTCCTTCGTAAGTTAGAAACCCCTCCAGACTGAACTCTTCTCAGCCAGGGACTATGTTCTCACATCAGGTTAAGCCAGGGCTTGCTTGTGGGATAAGCCAAACTGCCTGAATTTATCATTAACAGTGCTTTTGTCGCCCTCACTAAGTGGACCAGACCAGAAAATCAACTCCAGTAGAAGACCATAACTACACTTTATTGATATTGGCACAACAGAATCTTGCAAGTCTGTTTGTGCTGGACCTCCTCTCCCTCTTATACTCCAGGGCAGTGTTTCTCAACCTTGGCAAGTTTAAGATGGGAGGACTTCAACTCCCAGAATTCCCCAGCCAGCCATGCTGTGAAAGCAAGTTACTCTAAGAGGAACTAACTCTACTCTTAGAATGAATGGAGATCACTCTAAGTCAGTGTTTCTCAACCTTGGCAACTTTAAGACGGGTGTACTTCAACAACCAGAATTCCCCAGCCAGCCATGCTGGCTGGGGAATTCTGGGAGTTGAAGTCCATCCATCT